TGAGGGTGCCAGGCATCCAGGTCACTTCCAGAATATTCCTAGGGGAAATTTGTTTCTTCACCACCACATTTCAGTGGCACAATGGGAAGGTCAGTGGGGACCTTGTGAATCTACAGAAATGGTTGGGATTGCATACGGCCTGCATATTGCTCCCCTGAGTTTTATAATGTATTTTGAGTGGTTGCTCTAGAGCAGGGATAGGCAACCTAAGGCCTGGGGGCTGGATGCGGCCCTCTGAGGACTTTGGACTGGCCCCAGGCCAGTCCTGCCGCCGCCGCCACCGCCCCCTATAGTGATATTGATTATTGTTGTTATTATTTGTTCTTGGGGTTTTCTTGGCAAAATCTCCACAGGGGGTTTGCCATGACTTTTCTGGGGCAGAGAGAGTTTTCATGCATATTTTTATTTTATTTTTATTTTTTTATTTTAATATTTATTTATTTATTTATTTTTGGTGCTTCAGCCCCCCCAGTTGTCTGAGGGATAGCAACTCGTCCCCCAGCTCAAAAAGGTTGCCTACCCCTGCTCTAGAGTAAGGTATTGAGATGCTCTCTTTTCCCACAGTGTACCTCAAACAACATACCATTGGGATGTAGCATCTTTCTTCAGATACACTGCTGGCAAGAATGCCCCAAGACTGAGTGAGATTGTTTTTGCTGCTTTTCCACTGTGGTAAAGCTTATTTTAATAAAGAAGGAAGCATATAAAATGAGATGCTGCCTCATTCTAACTGGTGTAACAGTGAACTTTCATCCTTAAATAGTCTTTCCCAACCTGAGATTTTTGCATACATCTTTTAGCCCTTCCCTATTTTTCCACAAATATTCCAGCCTATACTTAGAAAGATAGCTAGCAAGGATCTAAGACAAAACATCTTTTTTTTAAAAAATTAAGTATTTTATTGGTTATTTCACACATAATATATACAAAAGAAACAATACATGTTTCACCTAGAAGTCACACAAATATACAAAAATATATTAACAAGTTACTGGATACTTCCCAAATGCCATGTCAGCTTACATTATCATGTTTTGGTAAACCTTTCATGAGAAACATTTAAAAATAATAAAATTTATAATTAAGTTTAACCAATCTTTTTTTTAAAATCTTTTTAGAAAATACATTTGCCACATTCTGTTTACACCCATGAATAGATTATAGCAAAATCAATAATCTGCAAATCCAGAAGCTGTTAAGTTATCAAATCTTAGTTGCATATAAACCTGAAATCTTTTCCAATCTGTAACAAATGTACTATTGTATTTTCCTCAGTTATGCAAATCAATTTATCCATTACCATTTTGTCTGCTATTTTTTCTATCCATTCCTCCTCCGTGGGAATATTAGAT